CTGAAATTGCCGTCATCTTTCTGGTGATGGATGAGAAGTGAACCTGTGATCTCAGCATATTTCCTCCTAGTATGTCCCCCCATCAGCCCCCTTGCTTCTGCCACGAATGATACTGACAGGGTCTCTGACCAAAAACTGACCAGCCCAAGGGAATGAGGGGAACAGACCATGAACGCTGCGGCCCCCTTTCAGTGCCGGGGTTTTCTGAGGCGAGGTGGCAGGAACACTGCCTGTCTGATACGCTGGTACCAGTCAAGGTGTACCTTGGTCTGTCCTTATGTAGGCAAAAGCTCTGACTCCAAAACTGTTCAGCTGGCACCTCTCATCAGCACTGCTTTTTCCTTTGTTTTCTAGGCAGAAGGAGAATTAAATTGTAGGTGTCTGTAATTCTTACACTTGAGACTTTCAGGGCACTTTGTGCCTGCGCTGGGTCCTGTGTTATTACCAAGATCTTTTGCTCTCCCTTGGAAGATTGGCTGCCTCACTTGATTTTATTCCTTTTTTTTTATTTTGGTCTGACCTCTCCATGCTCTTAGGGCACACATTGTTCAGATGATAATCATTTGTGCTCAGCCCAGGGCATTAGGCTGGATTTTGTTATTGCCTGCTGTATCAACTCCTGAAACTTTTCAGCAACACATGGAAGCTCCTAGAGGGAGCGGCTGACTTTGTTAACGTGAGTTTTGCAGAGAGCGTGTGTGAGTGAAGCAGAACTTCGTGGAACTGAAGCAGCTCTGGGCTCCTCCTCGGCCAAGCAGTTTCTAGGGCCAGAGCCAGAAGGTCACAGTTACTCACCTGTTATGACTTCCTGAGCATTATTGTTATTTGTCCCTGTACAGGAGCTGGAGCCACGTGCTGTAAAGTGGGTAGATGGTTCCTGGGGGCTGTAAGGAGTGTTCTGTTGTTAAATTTAATCCTGTTTCATCCCTGGGAAGGAGTGAGCGCCCCTGAATGTCAGCATCATTTGAAATGTGTTTGGTTGGTTTCAGATCAGTTCCTGGTGTGGGTTTGTCCTCTGCCACCTTTGGGCCGTGTAAAGAGACCAGAGGTGTGCTGGGCTCAGAGAAGCTGACCTTGCCCTAGGTCAACTGTGAGGCTTGTTGAGCAGTTTTGTGCAGGCACGGCTCCCTTTTCTGCTGTTTATACTGTACTCAGACCCTGGGAAGGAGAGGAACTGTATTTCCTAAAATACAGAGTGGTTTGGAATACGTGACCCCTGTTTAGATGCTCGGTGCAAGTACCTCCAAGTCCTGGTTCCTCTTGGAAAAAGGACCTGGTGCTTTGGGAACTGAGTTGTGTCTCCAGCAGGGACCTCGTAAGACAGGGACACCCCAAACCTCTGGGTAGTGCTGAAATCTTTGGTTTTTGGTTCTTCAGGTGAGTGGGGTAAGGGATGGCCCCTTATTTCCTGCTGCCTGGTGTTTCTTGTCCAGCACTGCTGTGCTCCCGAGGATGAGGTTCTTGGAGAGAAGAATCCTTTCTGTGTACCACAGACATGCCAGCTCTTAACTGGTTTTACTGGGAGCTGGGTGGCAGCTGACCCACATAAAGATAATGATATATAAAGAGAACATACCAGCACCTAGTTTTGCATGTTATACAACACAAAGTGTGCTTGTTCTGGTGCCTGAGCCGTGCCAGCGCAGTCTGCCTGGGTCTTCAGCAGTCCAATAACAGCTAATGGAGGAGGAAGAGGTTTTCCATAGGTTGTAAGTGAGCCGGGGCTGTTCAGCCTGGCCTGGGAAAATCGGTTGCCCAAAATCAGGGGCTTTTAAGGACTAAACCAGCGCAATGCCTTTTGTTGCCCAGAGCAAGCGAGCAGGAGTTGGGTGAGGACAGCGGTCGTCCGTGTCCATGGGTGCTGCAGGGGCGGCTCACGGGCAAACCCCTGGGGTGGCCACGTTGCTGTGGCCAAGGTGGGGCAGGACATGGGACACAGTGGGAGCTGCCCCAGTGCCGGGGTGGAACAGTGCCCCGGGCTGAGGCTGGACCCAGGGTTATTGCCCACAGGGGAGCAGACCCCACTGCGCTTGCTTGGCCTTTCTCTTTGCTCTTGGCACACGCTGAGGGCTGTGCCTGGCCCGAGCTGGCCAGCCACCCTCGGCCAAACTGGGACCAGAAGCCCGAGTGCCAACGCTTGGAGCTGTAAAACTGGTCGCTGGGGTGTGTGTGTGTGAGCGAGTGTTGGTGCAGATGCAGCCTTTAAGGGTCTTGTCCTTAAGTGTGTGTGTGTGTGTGTGTGTGTGTGTGTCTCTTTGCTTTTTATTTTATTAGTATTTTTGTGTGTGTCTCTAACCCTGAAATGCAGGTGTGCTGTATCAACAAGGGAGATAAAATTAACTTTAATGGCTACAATTATACTTAACTATGTTGAGCCAGTCTGGCAGAAAGAACAACATGTTCAGACTGGCAGTTTATAATGTAATGTTCAATTAGGCAGTAAGGAAAGCAATGCCTTCCTGAGGAGAAGAGGTTTTACACAGGCAATACAGCACAGATTATAAATAAATAAATAAATAAATCTTGAAAATAATGCTAATTTTAAATTGGGTTGATGAGACATCACATCTTGACGCCCACTCCTACCCCAAAGGCTTTTGACCAGCCACTTTCATAGGCAGGCTGTGCCAGCAGCATTTTGTGAGAGGTCATTTTAGTATTAATTCTGCTGTGTACCCAAAGTGCTGGTGCCGCAGAGCGAGCTGGCTGGGCAGGAGGCTGCGCCGGCTTGTCGCGTGTGCGGTTTGGGGGATGGGTTGGTTTTTTTTATTATTATTTGTTTGGTTGGTTGTTTTTTGTCTTTGTTGTTGTGTTTGGTTTTTTAAAAAACAAAACAATCCTGCAGTTGTTCAATACTGTATTTCTACTCAGTCTGACAAATTACAGCAGTATTTCTAAGAGGGGAGGGGCCAGTCAGGCCACATGGGTTGTGGGGGGTTTTTTTGGGGTGGTGGTGTGCAGCCCTTTGATAGCAGAGCTGTCCTGGGGCCTGTGATGAATTGGGTCTTTCAGTGGGTGGGTGCAGGGTGTGTGGCCGGGGCAGCTACTGCGTTACTGCCTGGTTAATTAGTGATCAGCAGGGCCCAGCCTGCTTTCACTGATTTGGTACTGGGAAGTGTTGGTGGGGGGTACACAGGTTTGGTTTTGTGTTATTTCACATGCTAGTACGAGGGGTGCAGTAGATGAACTGCTCACTGAAGCCAACACAAGCATCATGTTTTCTATGGTGTTTGTCCCAGCCCCTGGAATAAGCCATTATCTTTATTACTAACTCATGCTTGGACTTTGCACTCATAGTAAATTCAAAGGAAATAAATTATCTAACCGTGCGTTGGGTCTGTTATAAACAAAGCCGTTGGGAGGATAATTGGCTTTGGTTGGTGGATTTATTTTTATTTTAAGTGTCACAGGCTGTGCACCTACAAATTTAATTACAGGGGCAGTTGATCCTACCAAAGCTTGAGCCATGCAGCCCCCTGCCCCAAATGGTGGCAGCAGCACCCCCGCCAATTGCTGGGACCCAAAGTGGCTCAGCTTTCCCACAGCGCTTGTGCAGGTGGAGCTGCCTTCAGGCTGTATTTTAGTGCTTTAATCACAGCATCTTTGTTAAATCCCTGCCTTACCATAAACATACAGCAGCAAAGGAAACACTTGAGGGCGAGATTTCCACCAGCTCCTGCTCCTTGGGGATAGCATGGAACCCCACCCGCCACAGCGCACCTACCGCTGCTTCTCCTCCTAGCAGTGGCACCGAGTGCAGCAGCTTGCTTTCCCCGCAGCCTGCGTTCCCATGAGGAAGGCTTTAGCGAGCAGCTTGCTCCAGGATAGTCATGTTTTGTCACATCACATGGAGAAATTCTCCCTGGTAATCTGTGTCATGCAGCAGAAAGCCATCCTGACTGGTGCAGGAAGCCAGCTGCCAGGCTTCGTCACGTCAGAGCAGCCCCTGGGCCACAGCCTGCTCTCAGCCCTGTGCCCTGTGCCCAGCAGCGACGCAGAACAAGTCACTGCTGTGAAACCCATTTCTTCTGCTTGTGACTTCAGCACGTGCCCTCCCCTCCAACCTGCAGCACGTTCTGCTGGTGGATGCTGTAACCCACAGCAGAGAAACCATTGTTACGTGCAGTCACTGCCCGTGTGTGGCCTGTGGCTCCAGAGGAGCACTTGCAGCAATGGTGAATACACTGAAGATGTTTTGGGCTCCTGCCTGGTGTGACCAGGGGCCCATGTGCCACAGGAGCCTCTAATGCAGCTCAGGGAGAGGGGGACACAAATAACAGACTCCAACCCAGGCTGTCCTAGAGCTGATGTGTAACACCTTTGCTCACAGGTGGGAGCAGCAATTTAAGGCAATCCCAGTGCACATTTCAACTACCTTCAGCTGAGACATTCTGGGGATGATAAAGATGTATTTTCTGTTCCAAACAGGTGCAGTACTTCTTCAAGATCCTGGACAGCTAACTGCCTCCATCCTCACCCAACGCAAAAAACGTGCACGCAGAACAGTGTGTTCATTCATTTATTTGTCCAATGTTTCAACCTGACTGAAATACAAGATCAACAAGAGCACTGTACTCCTGGCTATTATTACATGTTAGAACATAGAGTTTTGCACTTTAGACAACATTTAACACCATTCTATGGGGTACTGCATTGCTTTTATAAAGTTTAAAATAAAGATTTATTTTTCAAACATGTGACTTTGGTTTATTTCATACATTACACTTTCTTGCAGAAAAAATAAAATTGTACAACTGCATAAATATAAAATTCTTCCACCATGAAAATGGTTAAAACATTCAATAAAGACATTAGCACCACAGTGTGCGATGCCTCCAGCAGGAAAAAAAAAAAAGAAATAAAAGAAAAGAAAAAGAAAATATACAAAGCAAAGAGTTATGCCTATCACTGAGTGATAGTCTGACCCGGTCTCTCACACAACATACTGGAGGATGAGGGGAAAGGTGGAGAGAGAGAGAGAGAGAGAGAGAGAGAGAGAGAGAGAGAGAGAGAGAGACAGCATTCGCTACAAAGCACAGTACACAATCATCTACTCTCTTGAACGTCAACGTCACTTAAGTTAGTTTCCCCTGCCACCCCTCCAAATAAAATATACCCTAACACCACAGAAAAGTCAGAAGCCGTATGGAGTGCTGTTAAATATAGTCTCACAGGTGGGCCTTTCTCTGAAAAGGAACAAAATAATGAGAAGTGTCATGCCAGTTCTAGTCCCATTGAGTATTTACACCTTGGACAGCAAAGTCTTTGCTCACAAGAAGTAGAAAACAGATACAATACATGGCTTGAAAAATGACCAGAGTATGCACCTATAGTACTGTACACTAAATAAAATACACAAGGCAGCAATACTTAGGGGCCAGAAACACTGCTTACTACAAGTCAGTTATGGAATCATAATTTACAGTAAAAATGGGCATGTCCCAAGGCTCAATTTTGTCTTCTTTTGTCATTTACAGTAGAATAAATATTTGTCGCTATTGCTACACTTTGTTTACATTCTAACCTAGTAAATGCAGGAAGCTAGTGTAAAGCATATAGATTACGTGTAGGTCCCATACGTATGACAGTTTGTTCAAGACTAGTAGGTTCTCTTTTTTGTTCTCCTTTTTTTTTTTTTTTTTTTTTTTAAACCTTTTTCAATGGCTAGGAGGAGGGAGGGAAGAGAGTTGTGCTTACAATCAGCTGCTTTTTATGTCAAATTTAATATCAAAGCGTCCCTGGAAGCGGTCTTTGTCGCTGTACTGGATGTTCTGCCCGTAGGCCTTGCATTCCACGCGCACCTCCATGTCGTAGGTCAGGTTGGTGAACTGCACGGCCACCAGCGGCTGCAGGTACCGCGGCTGCAGGAGTTTGCCGTAGTAGGGGTAGTACTGCAGGGCAAAGCCGGGGTAGCCACCCATCCCATAGTACTCCACCGTGCCTATTTTGTCTGCATCCTCCTCTCTCTAGGGAGGCAGGAAAAGGAAGAACACACAATGACAATCACCCAAACTTGACCTTTTGCAGCCCTCATCCCTAGCAGCATCTGTTTTTCACCAAGACTGCAACCTCTCTGGTCATCACTGATCCTCAGCCTGACAGCACGAGGACAGTCCTGATGGTGGCGAGGACAGTGACACGCTGCCTCACCAGCAGCTACGCAATAAGCACCTCCCAGCACACATCAGCCAGGAGAGGACTGTTCTTTGTTTAAAACTCAACCACTTCTTTACACATGCAGAAGTCACCACATTTTCCTGTCACACCAATGCACTATCTGTGGCTAAAAAAAGAAAAAGTTTGCTCTTTCTCAGCTGCTTTTACAATGCCAAGTAGAACACCCCTTCCCTGGAGACCTTTTTTTCAGCCATCCCTGCTGAAGAGCTCCAGTACAGCACTCAGAAGCAGAACAGCTACTTTTGAGGCTACCCCCCCTTTGCTGTCTGGCCCTGCTTCTCCCCCTCCCTGTGAGGGCAGCGCTGTCATTTGTCACCACCGAGGTTTTGAGAAACTCCTGTTCTAAGGGAGACCCAGCCCAAGGGAGACCCAGCCCAGCTGTCTGCACTCGGACAGAGACTCAGTCTCCCCCTGCAGCTTCCCCACTCTGCTCCATTTCATTTCAACTTACCTTGGCAGTGCAGTGGACAGGGATGAGATAGGGGTTGTACTTTGCCATCACCTCTGGAGGAAGGCTTTCATTTACTGGTGCCTGGAAGAAACCCAAAACAGGGGGATGTTACACACTGGACACTTCTCTGCAGCTGCAGCACCTTCGCGGCAGCAAAGCTCAGTGGGCACCGAGCACGTGCCATCAACCAGAATCCCTTCTGGCTCAGCTTCAGGGGCAACAGCTCTTGGTGGTGGTTCTTGGGACAGACACGCAGCATGACACAAGGAGAAGCTGGGGAAGTTAACCCAAGCAGAGCTGCTGCCTGTTCTGCCTGGTACCAAAGCAAACAGATCAGGCTGCTTTCCATTTCATGGCATGGCACACTGGGGAGTGCGTGTCACAGCAGAGTGGCAGCTAGTGGGGCTTGTGTGTGCAAAGCCCAGGCAGCGGGAGGAAGAGACGCACTGCTGGAGGATTTCCTCCCTGCCTGCCAGGGGAGCGCAGCTGCGACTGGAAATGCACAAGGAAGAACAAAGAGCAGCAGTCACACCCTGGCATTGAACTTCCAACATCACCTACACCGAAGGACAAAGGCTCTGAGCATGTCAGGGAAAGGTGGGAGTCCCACCTCCCTGATGTTGGTGTTTGGTCCCTTAACAGGTGCTGTAGTTTTGCTCCACCACCTTGCAGGTCTCAGACCTGCTTTACACACACCTTGCCCAACGCAAGTGCTACAAAGTCTCTGCTGGAGCGTGGAACGAGGGGAACAAATCTTGCCTTGGGTACACATCATTTCTAAATGAAACGTGTCAAGTCATTCCTTCACTAGACCCTGCTGCCTAATGCAGTCTGGAGCTCTTCTGTGACAAAGAAGGACACACCAAACCCTTCGCTTCCCCACTCATCAAACACGCGCATCGTATGTCATCCCACGACCACCTCACACCAAGCACGGCACATTCTTTTTTTTTTCCGGCTAAAACGCACCCACTGTTTCCACCCTGGATCAGATGAGCCAAAATTCAACTCACTGCTTTCTCATTTCCCATTTCTAGCGCAGGGCAGGCTCCCTTCAAAGAAAAATGTTCCTCAGAACTCGTTAGCTGGACAGCCCCATTCCCCATCCCCGGCTACACCGACGGATGGTGGCGAGGGGGCTCAGCACACCCTTTGCACTCTTTTCCATCCAGAAGATGGACTGGCAGGTTTTGCACGTCATGTTATTCAATAACATGTGCTTTACCACAGAGTTCTTAAGAGAATTTTTTGGCATTTATATGTGCTGGGGAAAAAACTACAAGTAGAAGCCGTTCCTGTCCAGCTTAATATCCTTCAGCATTACTGCAAACGTGCCTTGGGGTGCAGCACAGAGCAAGTGCGTGACTGAGACATCTGCGAAACTGCATTAAATAACCTAAAGATCTCCTCCCCGTTCTTGCAGGAAGAGCTGTGCCTGACTCCCAGGTGTAGTTTACACTTCATAGGACTATGTGTCAGTCTAACAGTGAATATATGAATATCAGACCTCATGTAATTAAGTGGTTTTGGCAAGGCAGGCAACCCTACACTGCCTGAGGAAAGAACGGAGCAAATCGGGGCATGACACAATGTACTGATCTTACTACAGATGGAGTCGCTCTGGGACAGTCCCATGGAATCAGACAGGAACTTCAAACTGCTTTTACCATTTGAAGAAAATACCCTGTGAGAGCAATTCAGTCAGCAGGCTTGGAAGTTAACAGATAAAGAACCAGAAGTTTGCACTGTGAGGTTCATTGCTACTTGTTCCCAGCTTGTGGTGTGCAGTTTTCATTGCTTTTTAATTAAACATATTTTTAAAGCCAGTTACTCAAATTGTCTCACAACTTCTTCTCTGCAGAAGCTTTAACACTCATCTCTCTCCAGAGACAGAAAAGCAGGCGCAGCAAATCTGCAGCCAACTCCTTCTCCTTGTCAGGAGCTTCTGCTAGAAAGGGAAGAGTTACTTGCCTTAGGTTTGAAGCCGATAATTCTGTTGAGCTTGACGAGGACACATGGTTTGCCATCCCTGTACCCAAAGGTGGGATCGTTTATTCCAGAACAGTTTTCCAGCCATTCACGTTTGAATTTGCAGACTTTCTTCTGGCCCTGGACATCATTATATGGTCCTCTCTCTTTGTAATCGGTCGGTATGTCTGTCATGGTGAGGGAATGAAAACACAACCGTATGCAACGTGAGCCTTTGCTCGTCAGGAACAGCAACGCTTTTGCTTTGCTGCGTTGTTTGGATTTCCCCCTCATCTGAACAGGTAAGTGCCATCACCTTCTCCAGGCTGAAACCACAGGCCTGCACCCAGCCACCCCCCACGTGCTGACTGCTCCCAGATCAGCAAGTTTGCAGGGGTTTTGTTTTTTTTAATGAGGATTCTTCCAGAACAAACACATTTGTAATCCACTGGCTCAGAGATTTTTTGGCAGCTTTTACCAGCAGGTTCCCCTCAGATTTTACACGCACGAATTATGAGGTGATTGTCTCATTCCACATTAGTACATATAATCTAGTGAAGGTTAATACCTCCCAGATGTTTTGCTGCATTGCATCAAGAGGACCGACACTGGCTTTAGCAAAGTCATCAGTAAAACCCCCGTAACTTTCAGAGAGGGTAAGGTCAGTGCCACGTGCTTTTTAGAGTCAGCTGCAGCTTTCTCCAAGTGAAATCTGGGAGTTCCCAACCTTGTAACCTCTACAATAAGCTTCTAGGTACATCCCTGGACAAGTCTGGTCTGTCCCAACTCATCATCTAATGAGCAGCCAGACGACAGAAACCAGAGCCTGCCAGTTTACCAACATGCCGTTGGCTGCAATAAAAGGAACAGCCGCAGACAGAGCCCACGACTGCTCAGGCTCAGCTTCTGACGGACCTGACACAGAGCCCTCGGCTGCAGGAAACAATCGAGACTTACCCCCACAGTCCTGAAACACAATGTTTTCAGTTTGCTGATCAGCGCTGTAGTCCTTTAGGAACTTCTCAAGGTTCTTCACATACGGTTCAAAACTTTTGGAATCTGAGACAGTGAAGGAAATTTCTGTCTTTTGTACCTGGGGGATTTGAGTCAGTCCTAAGAAAAGCAAAATCAGGAAGAGAACATTAAGTACACCTCGGAGTTGCACAGCTTCTGGGCAATGCAATGCACACCAAGAACATAACTCATTCTAATAACTTCTACATTTCAGACTTCAGGACTTGCACAAAACAGCTTAAGGTCACTAGAGGGGAGGCTCTGACGGGCTCTTATCTCCTCTTTCTAACAACAGTCTGGAATATTCATCATGATGTTTGCATCACTGAGCAGATAAAAATCACAGAATCCAGAAGGGAGGCTGTAAGTCACGGTTTTCCTCAAGAAAAACAGTCAACCACAGGTCCCCTGCCCACTTCTGCCTCCTTCCCAAGGACAGAAGGGACACTCTCTGTGAGAGACCAACCACACACACTAAAGTCCCATGGCAGCTACTCTTATGCATGTCTCCCCCAGATGTTAACTTGAAAGTCTGCAAATCACACCAGAGGTGTCCACTCATGAACCCTCGCAATGCAGCATGAGAGGTTCCCCAAGCCAGGGATGGTCTCTCCTGGTTGTAACCCACACTGCCTTTGTGTAGTCTCCCTTGCAGGATGCAGGGCAGGAGACATTTTCTCACTCAGTAAAAAAAAGCATCAGCCTGATCGCTTTCTCTGGTCTTTTCACTCCATAAGCAGGTACTTCTGATTGCAGAAACAGCCTTCTGAGCTCTCTAATCCAAAGCTCAGCACTGAGTAGGTGAGCAAGAAATACCACCACACATGGAGTTGTTTAAAGGACTGTCCCAGATTCTGGGCTGTGGAATCAGCTCCACTTTTGACTTTAGGAGGATGAACAGAAAACAAATGCATGGAGAAGAGAAGGGACTTGATACAAGTGATGGCTACAGATGATGAGAAGTGCCAACCCCTTTGCTTTTCATTGTGGGACTTGGAAATAGTTGCTCCCAAGCAATGTTTAGGTCACATTTTAATTGAATGCATTGATGCGTGGCTAACACTTTAAACTTAAGTAATGGGAATCGGAGTTCACGCTGCCTTTGTGGCAGCCACTGTAATTATTGAGGTCTTGACTTCTGTTCAGTTTGTCATCTTTATTTTAGCAAGAACAAGAAAAAGGAGCAGGGGAGCAGCATTGGCTTTGACAGCTTTCAGAACAGGCCCCTTGCCAACAAGTTCCCCTGGTGCAGAACTCAGGCAGCTTAGCTGGCTGGCCCCAACCCACAGGAGCTTGTGACTCCAGCAATTTTTCCAAAGCCACTTTAGTGCTTCTGCTTAGTCCCTCCTCAAGCCAGCTCACCACTCCCCACCCCCCCACTACCCACTGAGCTGGAATTTGTAACCCAGGACAAAGATTAGCTTTGTTCCCCTAAACGCAGCTCCTAGTAGCCAAAGATAGCGAGACATCCAGTGAGTAGCTCAGGGTTTCAAGTTTTATTCCAGGAAGCAGCTTTAACCGCTCAAAACTCCCTCTGGTACAAACTGACCAGGCTGAATGTTAAAAGTTTAGAAGCAGCTTAGTACTCCACTAGCAGAATTATGTATGACTCCCAAGTCAGTGGCTTTCAAGCCCTTTTCAAGCAATGACTTGCATTTTTGCTTCACAAACAGTTATAAATAAATATAAAATAAATAAGCTGGGTTCAATTTTAGTAAGGGGACTTCAGTCCCATCCTGCTGAACCCTCCTCATGTTACCCCTCAGCTGAAGCAATAGGCTCAGAGTCACTTGAAGTGGCTATCTGGAATTGCAGTGAATGCTGGCCAGGCCTTGGTTTCACTCCTGGGTCTGCCTTTTCCAGAGTTCAAGTTACAGGTGTGGCATTCAAGTGTATAAATATAAAATTCCAGAAAGCTCAGCCAGGCTTGTTAAGCTTCAGTCAGGCTATAAGTTAAGCTATATAGTTTTCCTCAGGAACTCTACAATCAAGGAACTCTCCACCTGTTTTTTGTCTTGTCCAAGGCAAAGCATAAAGGCCTCCAGACAGGCATGGCAGAGATGAAGGGAAGGTCAGTGGTGTGTGAAAGCCACCGAGCAGATTAGCTCTGTTCTCTGGTTAGGAGAGCCTGGCCCCTGACACACAGTCCAAAACCAGTGCTCTACCCATGAGAGAAGTGACTTGGTCAGGAGAACAGACGCCCATCCAAAGCATCCCCATCTCGCAAATCTTTGCAGAGCAGCACCTCTGTACAGCTGCTGCAGTGGCCAGCACAGGAGAACAACCGTTCCTGACAGGTAAGACTCAGCCTGTGGCCACAGCTCAGCTGCTTTCAGCCAATCTTCGGGCATTTACAGGTACTTGGAGGAATCAGACTGCCTGTGCTTTGGTACAGCAGGTGCTCTCTTTGTTCAGGACAAGAGCAAAGTAGAGATCAGTCTTTGCACTTATGAAGTGAGGAAACATCTTTGTGAAGATGAAAGGCTTGTTATGAAAATAACTTTACCCAACTAAAAATGTATTCTCATGTCTGCAACTGACCAGACACAAGTGATCTGTCATTTCCTTCTTTGTTCTCCATCTGTGCATCCCATAGCCAAAATAAAAGCTTCAATACTGTTATGAGAGCAAATTGTCACTGAACCCTTCTTAAGCAATTAAAAAAAAGGGTGCTGATTTGGTACAAAAAGAGGAGGCAACCTCTGCAGAACACTCCCATAACCCTTCTGAAGCCTTCTCTCAGCCCCATTAGGGGAAATGAAGGAAGTAGGGACAACAACTGAAGCTGAGCCACTGCAGTGTTACCTACCATGCGATAACACCTGGGGAAGTATGGGGCTGAAATAAAGTGCAGGAATGAATAAGCCTCTTAGAGGCCTCATGGACATGAGGAAACTGTTGATGAGCAAGCCCTATAGAGGAAAAGAAACAAAGCCTCAAGTGCTTTCATAGCCAGGAGTCCAGACAATCCTCTCCTCATCTTCAGACTATGATCTACTTGCCACAGTTCCGCACCTCATGCTACTAGCACAGCAATGCCCCATGGTGTCATGAGGTGATGCTGTTCACACATGGAACAATAAAGTAACTTATTGCTAAGAAAATACTGACAAACTACTTCTGACAATTTCCCCAACTGGCTTTTGGGTGCATTGCTAGGAAATATGAATACTGTCTTCATTTGACTGACACTGTCCACATAAATGATGAGTGATGCCTTGACTTGGTAACAGACACCACCTTCTGTTGGCTTTCTAACTCTGGGGATGTACCAAGATACCTAAAACAAAAAAGCATGTGAAGGAATTGGTTGGGTTTTTTTCAGCTACAGTTCCACTTCCAAAACACCACTGCAGATGAAAAGTCACATTTATTCAACTTCATTAAAAACCAGAATTTCCACAGACTTTATCACTCTAAGCCACCAGAGCAAGACTTCAGGTAGAAGTGTCCTGAGGGTAAAGAGGAAGAAACTAGAAGTGGGAAGTCAGGCTTGTTATTAGGAATGGTTGTGTAAGTCCATAGTGACCACTGTTGCTTCATCATGAAATGCTCATTTCCAAGTACCACGTAATCTTGGTTCAGAATGAGTCTGAACACTCCTGGGATGACACAGATGACAAACTGAGAGATCACTACATCATTTCTATTTACCACCTCCCCAGCTCACTAAAGCAGGATAGACTTTTAAAAGCCTCCGTACCAAGCCATGTCCTGCCAAGCTTCCAGTCACCCTCTACCTCATCCCCAAAGTGCAAAAAGTAGGTGCAAGTTCTCTACAAACGCAGTAAAATCTGCTTGGCAGGTAACATCTCTGGAGCTTGAGAGTCAGAGATTTTTCCAAACATAGGAGCTGAGACAAGAGACCAAAGTGGAAAAGTGCAACTTCAGAGGAGGTGGCATACAACTCCCTGGGGCTTTCCTCCCACCTCCCTGCTGCCATCCACGCTACATAAGCCAAGTGGGGAATACACACCAGAGCAGCCTTTTCCATGACACACTCACTGGCCAGGCAGCACTTGAAGCAGTGACACCTGAAATCTCCTGGCTTGAGCAGGGGTTCTTCCTCCTTCCAGCTGCCACTTAAACAGCAGGAGTGAGCTGCCAGCGCTAGGCCAGCCCAGCTGAGAGGACACTGTGTTCCACAGGGCGCACACCACAAGATGGCAGGATGCACAGCCCAATTCACAGTGGGGTGGGGAAGGGGAAGAGGAGAACAGCACAGCGATTTTTATAAACACTGTGTTTGAAGAGGCAATATCTTCATCCTTCCTTATGAGCAGGGTAAGTCCTCTGCGCTTAAAGCGGAGTCCGAGCCTGCAGCACATGTGGAACTGGGAGCTGGGGCTGTCACAATGGCAAAGCTGGACAAGAAGGTGAACTGCACTGTCCCTGCCCCCACCCCAAGACAAAAAGAGGAGGAAAAGTACCATGGAAAGGTACAAAACTCAGCTCTAAAAAGCTAAAGCCCTGTGTAACACTCCTGTCGTGTTCAATGCAGAAACCAATTAGCATAGGAATGGCACTTGGCTCCAAAAATAGCACTTGATGGCTTTCAATGTTATACCTGTGTCAATAACTCAATAGAACATCCTGCAGGTTCTGCTGCTGGTATGAAATCTGTTGTAGTTCAGAACAAGAATGATATGTAGCAGTCCCTACAGCATGTTCTCCTGCAAATCCTGCAGGGAAGCATGGCTTCCCCTTTCCCAGCCATTTTGAGCTGACAGAGCAGTGGCTTGCCCAAGGACAGAGCATTGTAACAAGAATAAAATCAGTTTTTCTAGCTTCCTAGAAGATTCAGGGGTCTATCAAGCTGCCAATATACTTACTTGGCTTGCAAATCTTCCCTCAAGAATCAAGAATTAGAACTGCATAGCACCCTGTTTCATGTAGTTGATACAGGGGTCCCAGATCAGAGAAAATTTAAGCTAAATGCTCACCAAGTGCAGGAGTGAACATGCCCACCCGCGTGTTCTCTGCCAGAAGAGCAGTTGTGCTCGCAGCACAGGTGGGAGCCCGACACAGCAGGGGAAGAGAGGGGCTGCTGACCCCCCCTACACAGCAGGAGAAGAGAGGGGCTGCTGACCCCCCCTACACAGCAGGAGAAGAGAGGGGCTGCTGACCCCCCAACACAGCAACTCACCAGTCAGTCCCCAAAAGCCCACGTTAAAGGCTATTTTCAGCTCCTGTGGTCTAACGGCTGCTGTGCTACAGGATGAGGAACAGACTGAGCCAACCCCCGCCACGCCTTACCCCTCAGCTTGTCCACATCTGCACAAGAGTTGCCACATGATGCCCTGCAAAGGACACTGTGCTATTAACTGGTAAACATCTCCTTCAAGTTGTATGCATGTACCATTACAGCTTGCTTCAAACCCCTTGATTATTGGGCTGCTGACTGCCGTGTATTCAAGGAGCTGCATTTTATTCCCCCTGATTTCAGTACACGCCCTGACAGCCCGTTACAATGATCCCTGATGACCTTTTCATTCTTCCTCCATTTTGATTTCCATAGAATACACTACAAGAGCATCTTGAATTTCAGTTCCCTTCTTTGGTTAAAAAAAAAATGATAAGCCCCAGAAAAACTGGTGCAGTATGCAATTAAGAGATTAATAAAAAGCCTCTGCAGGCTGAGATCTTACACAGAAATTTTACCACAGAGTCACTTTCAAATTAGAATTGCAAACTGCTATTACACAGAAAGCAAACAGTTTACCTAGAATGAGTAATTATGTGACATCAGGCTAAGCAGCAGGTCTATTTGGATGTGACCCAAGATCCATGGGCTTCTTCACTAATTATTTCACGTCTGGTGAGACCACTGGGCTTCAGCCGGGGAGAAACACATTATTAAAATAACTACTCCCCCATTAGCCATGTTGGCTTTTCAGATGCAGCTAAGGGCTCTGGGCAGTATCAGTTTAATCTTTCCTGCAAATGACAAGAGCCCACTGCAGAGATGGGAACAGCCACTTTCAGCGCTTTAGACAGCATTTACCCCAGCCATACAGGTGCACTGAGAAGTGCCACACTGACACAGCAGTTCTAGTCTCTGTTCTATCTTTTAAAAGTGCTGGTGGAAAAGCAATTTTCTGAAAAAGATGATTCTTTGCAGAGATATACCACCATTTGGTGATGGTAACGTTGCCTGTGTTGAGGGAGCGGGGAATAATCACAGCACAGCACTGCAGACAGGGGCTGTAAGACACCGCCTGATGCCAGAGCCAACTTCTGCAGCCACAAGCCATCAGCCTCACAATTGTCACTTAAATACCACTGTTATTAAAAGCTTCTGAACTGTTTTACAGAGCAACTGGAGACAGATCGTTACCATCCCCAGTGCCAAGCAGCCTCAAGGTCATTGGTAATGTGGGAAAGCAGCAGTTGCGCAGCTCCCCCGCCACGCTCCGAGCAGCCGCTGGCTGCAGCCGGAATCAGACAGCGCAGCGGAGCCTGGACGGGCAGAGCAGGGAACCTGCACCAGGGGCTGGTTACTCCACTGCCCCCACCAAGGCACAGCAGAGCCTGGACAGGCCAAGCAGGGAACCTGCAGCAGGGGCTGGTTACTCCACTGCCCCCACCAAGGCAGGCTTGGCCACACACACAGCTCAAGCCATCAGTGGCATTTTGAGCCAAGACTTACTTTGTCCAGTAAAGATGGGTCATGCATCAGCAACAAGACCCACTTTTAACCTCCCAGGACACATTTGACTGAAATACCCGTTAGTAAGTGCCACCACCTCCTCTAGATCACACGTTGAGCTCAGTGTTGGCCAACACAACTCAGTAGCACACATAGAATTGGTATGGTCCCCTTTCTCCTTGTGCACACCAGCCTCACAGACAAAGCTAACATTTTACCTTTGTCCCTTCACTTACCCATGGGAACACAGTGGCTCTGAAGAAAGAAAACCTGAACCCAGCTTTTCCATACAGCTCATTCCCAGGTGAAGCACTTTAGCCTCACGCCCACTGCTTCAGTTTAAGGGAAGGGAAAAGCAGCAATCCAGGTTCAAGCTCCTCTCAAGACAGGAGGCATATTTATTGTGATGCAACCTTTAATTCTAGCAGGATTGCCTTCCAGCCCCAGTACTATTAACACAGAAGGCTGAGAACATACCCACCCCCTACAAATATGTGTTGCAGCAACGACAGGCTCATTTCACCCTCCTTCTTGAGGTGAGTAACCAACCCGCCTCCCCAGAACAGCTTGCACCAAGTCAAACACGGGCCTCCTATTCAGTTACCTGGAGGTGCCACTCGATCCTGGTATTTGGGCTCAAATTCACTGACAGTCAGCAACATCACCTGGATGGTCCCAATGAATATACCTGCCAGGCAACCGTAGAAGATGACATAGAAGAGGAGGATCTTAACTGCAAGAGAAAACAGAGAGAGGAATCAAATCAAGCCCTCACAGCAGTCACATTTCAGGACAAAATTTCCAACCTTTGCCACGCGCAAACAAGAGCCCAGCACACCGAGTTCGGATGGCAAGCCCTGAAAATATAAGTCACTGGTCTTTTGGGAGGCTGGAAGTATGAGCCCCTGAGAACCTAGCAATCCATGAATCAGGATTTGGGATTGTAAAGCATGAAGATTAAACCACATTCCTCCATATCTGACAGGATCCCTTGGCTGGCCCAACACTACCACACCACACACTACCACAGCTGACAGACTTGCAGCGAAGCAAGCGCCCAACAGCAAGAAGCCGTACTATGGGTGTGCTCCACATGACACCCACTCCACAAAGCTCTGGGCCTCACAGCTATTTCCAGGAGAGTCTACAGTGAGCATTACCTTCAGGGTTACAAGCAGTGGTAAAGCCTGATCTCTCCTACTAATTCCGGCTATCACCTTCACTAAAGGCAACAGGAGCAGGATACGGGCCCAATTTATCTCCAATGCTCAATCTCAAATGTAGGAATGCACCCAGACATGTCACAGTAGCACCGATTTACCAGCCTTGTATGTCTACAAAGGCACTCCAGCACTGCTTATATCCATTTAAAAGTGAACTTCATAATAATGAAAGGCTGAATTTAATTTCGGTCTGAAGGGAGATGCCTAGAATAATTTGGGGCGGGGGGGCCATGTGGAGATGTGCCTGGAGACACAGCACGGATCAGACTCTGAGTATCAGTTACCAGTTTACAAGGATTATCTCAACTGATTAACTGCACAGTAACATGCCGTACTAGGCACCACCAGGCCACCTACAGAAGGGTAAGCCAGCCCATGGCAAGCAACTATATGCTCATCAGACTGCAGGAGCAAGCAGGCAAGTGCAGAGGCCAAGGAGTACTCGAAATAGTCTGCTTGATCTCAGACTGTCCTCATCCAATTGCAAACAAATGAGAGGTGGTTTATTTGAAGGACGGACTTGAAGTGACCAGCTACAAGGGACTGGGAGGAAGCAGTAGGTGGAAATATTCCTCCTCCATCCCCAACCCCATTGTAAAAAAGCTCCATCAGTGGAGAAGTGGAGAAGCCTCCCAATGAAAGCAGGCAGTTGCGGTTGTTTTCTTTTCAAGTCTATGACAGGCCAGCAGGAAGAACAGCCCGTGACATGGAGGCTGAAGGACACTGTCAGAAAGGCACTCCATCCTCGTCTTCCTCACGTGCTCCGCAGGCAGGGGAGGCAGCCAGGGCTGGTGGGCAGAGCTGGGTGCTGTAGCATGGTGCTCCAGGAGTTAAAAGCACTCTTTGGTATCCAGGCAGCGTAAAGCAAATGGCTGTGACGTCAGGGACGTGTGGAAATTTTTTCCAGAGCACGGTCATAGGAGGTGCTGTTGTAACAAACCAAACACTAATGCTGTTGTCTGCAGCGTAACGCCTTTGAGTTTTGTAACATCAAAAGGCAAACGCTGGGAGGTAGCTTATTTAATCAGGTTCCCAGCCAGGATGCTCTCAGCGCCAAAGACACCTTAAAGGTCAAAACCACTCCTAGGACTCAGAAAACACACAGCAGGTCTAGCAACCAAGTGTGACAGGGTTGAACGAGAAAGCTTCTTGCAACAGGTTGGTTTATAACAGAGGAATTGGATCATCAGTCTGCAGATCGACTCCACAAATGGAAATCAGTCCTAGGCAGATAGGTACAGGCACTCTGGGAGAAGGACCTGGTTCAGCCTCCGCATTTGAAGCACTGCGCAGTTGCCTGGTGCCTCAGGAGCAGAAAATACCTATTCACACACCCGCACAACCCAATTCTGCTCACGTAAAGATACGGCAGAAGCTGCTCTAGTCCACTCGCCTGCCAGAGCTAAAGCTGGCGGCTCCGGATGTGGCACCTCTGGCTGATCCGTTACAACAGCAGCCGGATCCAACATCGCCAGTGTGGCACACCAGCTGCGGTTGGCAGCAACGGGAAGAGTGTCTATTTTCGTAAAGAAAATGCTAAAAGCCTCTAAGTGCTATTTGTACAGCACCTAATAAACACATCATAGCGTTTAATCTCAAATGCACATGGAGCCATTTCCTTCTTGCAGAGGCACTAAAAGCCAATTGTTCTCTCTCGACGAGGTAAAATTAGCGCAGTTTCCTTTATCCAGAGAAAAGGGAGAAAAAGAAGAGCCAGCCTGAAGTCCGAGGCAGAGGGCGGCCGGGAGGGCAG